CAAAAAAAAAAAAAAAAAAAAAAAAAAAAAAAACAACAAAAAAAACCGCACTCACAGAAGACACCGGCGGAGACCTATCCTCTTTGGGCCTCTACCTGCCTGCCCAGGTAATGGCACATGGCAGTGACAGTGTGATAGGTGTTAGCAGTGTGGCTATGTTACTCACCTCTGCCTTCAGTGCCCAAGTCTAGCACAGCTGTGCCTGCAGTGTCGTGTGAGCTCCCCGTCGAGCCCTGGCTTGTGAGGATGTAGCCATTAGCAGAATTGGCAGAAGTGGTGACCACCCTAACCATGGTGACAGTGGGGGCCTGCTGAACGACGTGGATGGCATGGCCTGAGGGCTGCTGTGAGGTCACTATGGAGGCTGGCATGTAGGCAACAGGCTTGGCCACTAGGTTGGACGGTCGGGGAGGCACGGCCATGATCACTGGCTGGGCGCTGACAGGGGAACCTGTATAGGGAGAGAGAGGATGGTGACGGGACGGCCCTGCCCTGCCCTACCCTGCTGGCACCACCCCAGGTTCCGCCACAGCCAAGGAAAGGACAGAAGTGTGTCTCACCAGGTGCGCTTTGGGAATACCGGTACTCTGGGACGGAGGCTAACTTTGAGCCCAGCTCAGGGTCGTGTGGAATGGGGGAGCCCTCCCGAGACAGGCACTCTGGAGTCTGCAGGCCACTGGAGCGAGGGGACATCAGCCCAGGGTGAGTAGGTGAGGCCGGAGCACTCCTGTAAGGACAGAAAAAGAAAGGGCCACCAAGATAGGTCAGTATGCCACTGGTTGAGAAGTTCTGCAATCATACACCCCAGTGTCTACCCTGCTGTGACTCCCTGTGCTTCCTGGGGCTCCTCTCTGCCCCAGTGAGGTCTGTCCACCTCTGGGTAGTGACAACTGCCACCTGGTGACACAAACCCAGCATCAACAGCTCTAGCCAGTGGGGTGGGGCCTCCATTAAATGGGGAGTCCTCATCACCAGTGACTTCCTTGCAAACGCCACAGATGGCAGCATTTATCTTCCACAAGGCACCAGCTGTCTTCTATGAGAGTGGCTCAGCCTGTGTCAAAAACCCAGCTTCTAATGGGAGGACCAGTTCACCTGAGAACCATGACAGGGCCCAGAGGGGAAATGCTGTTCCAGCTTCTGGGCTGCCTTTCCCAGGGCAGATTTGAAAGCATCTGGAAATAAAAAGCATCCCTGGTGGCTCCTGCACGTGAAAGAACTCCTGAGGGTGCGCTCTTCCTCTCAGCCATGCCTGGGGCTGCTTCTCAGCCCTCGACCTTGGAAGGACCACCTACCTGTCCATCCACAGGCAGGAGAGGCCTTGACTGGCCAGGCAGGTGGAAGGCAGAGACTGGGGCTGCCTATGATGGGTGAGATGGCCCATCCCACTTTGCCCACCAGCAGACAAGCTGTGTTCCCAAATGTCAATGCTGCCAGATTACAGCAACGGGGATCAGATAGAGGTAGGAGCCTCTCTCTTCCTCTGCCCGGAAAAGGCCCCACACTGGGTCAGGACAGGGAGAGGCCAGTTATTCACTGGGTGCCCTCACACCTCAGCAGAAAGCTCAGTCCCACCCAGCACTCAATCTGGCACCCCTGGCTCTCGTCACATGGGGAAGAGTCAGAGTCAGTGGACTGGCTGTGCAGTTGCTGTGGCCTCACGGTGCCAAGACCGGCTCTTGGGAACACAGCGGGCCTTGGAGTGCCAAGAATGACCCTGCATGGGCCAAGCAGAAGTATATGCATGGGGGGCTCTTACCGTGAGGACAGAGGCCCGAAGGGGGTGCGGAAGCAGGAGACGCCCCTCTGCCTCCGTTTTCGGAAGGCTTGTTCTACCAGTTTGGCTTCAGAGGCAGGGTCTATCCGCCAAAAAGAGCCCTTGCCAGGCTCCTCCTGGGACCTCGGGACTTTGATGAAGTAACGGTTCAGAGAGAGGTTGTGTCGGATGGAGTTCTGTGGGGAGGCAGAGAGAGCCCTGGTCAACAAGCACACTGCAGAAGAGATTCTTTGTCCTGAGTCTGAGTGTAGCGGCTGCAGGACTGGAGATGACAGGGCAATGGTCTGACCATGGATCTGGATGGACTGTGCCTCTCAGAGCTTGAGGTGGCTTTTCCTATCCAAACCCCACAGGGTAAAGCCTATCACAACTCTTTACAGAGAAAGCAAAAGAGAAAGACAAGCCATGCACAGGAGCGTGACAGCCTCAAGGAAAAGCCTGGGTCTCACAGCTCAACACTCATCTGAGATAAACCAGCCAAAGGGAAAACAGTGACCACAGGGTAAACACTGAATGGCAAGGGACATCAGTACACCTGAGGCAGAGGTCTCGGGATCCTATGCAAGTAAAACAAACACCACTGGCTGGAATGGTGGTACCTGCCTTTAACCCAGCAGTTTCAGGCTGAGGCAGAAAGATTGCAAGCTGGAGCCAGCCTAGGCAGCTCAGCAACTGAGTAAGACCCCGTCTCAAAATAATAAACAAGGGCTGGGGGTGCAGCTCAAGATGAAGGCCCTAGGTTCAATCCCTAGTACCACAAAAAACAAACAAAAATAACACCATGTGGACTGCAGCATTCACATGCATGGGTTATTTCCAAAGAAGCAGAACTTTATAACATACACTAGGTCTAAAAGCCTAACAAGGTATGGAAGGAAACCGATTAAAAAAAAAAAAGATTCATTTTAGGCTATTGTGACTCTTCACAGTAGCCCACCATATATTTTTCCCTACTTTTACTTGGCCCAACTCACTCTGCAGAGCCTTTTTCCTTTTAATATGTGAAAATTTGCC